TCCTTATATTGTATCTTCAGTGCTGCAGTTTCCCATTCAGCCAAGGCACCGTAACCCCCCAGAGCCAGAATGTCCCTGAATTGGCCGATCTCAGATACACACACGTTTATCACAACAGTCCAAGTGTTCCCAAAGGACGGGCTCTGCAGTGCCAGTGGCAGGTTACCAGCACTAACCGAGATGATAACTCTTCTATTATTTATTTATTAGCTTGGATGTAGCTGCAAAGTGGTGGTTGTTCTGAAATCAAAATGATAAAAGGTTGCATCTGTGCAAAGTTCATTCTTTGAGGTTTTAAGCTACTGTGTATTTTCTACAGAGAACCCTGGAGCAAATCACATCCTTGAATCAATAAATCACTCTGCTGCTTAATACCATATCATAGCATAATTTTTAACAATCCAGCTTAAAGCAGAAGGAGCTCCTACAGCTGATTATTTTGTGCCAGCATTGAAGCCTTATTGAACGTTTACTTCCATTTCAAGGCATGTTACTTCCTCCAGGCTCCTTCCCTCTGTGCAGTGTGGACCTGTTTGTAGTGGTGGTTTTGCATGCTGAGAACCTGCTCTGTTGCTCTCTCCAACAGGACCAGAGGGATGCTCAGCCAAGGAGCACTGCGCTCTCATCACCTTCCTTTCCTTTCTGGTTGTGTGTTTTGAGTGAGTCAAACTGTTGTTCTTCTCTTCTTGCCTGCAGTGTGGGGTTGCTTCTGTTGTACAGGGGCTGCGCTGCCTGTCCGGGAGCGTGTTCTTCATCCGTGGCAGCTCGAGGAGCTGGTGTGGAGATGCTGAGTGCTGGGGTGAAGCCAGAGAGAGCCCAGCTCCCTTGGGTGCTCCACTCTGCTAACTCGTGCTCGCCCTTTGCTGCGTTTAACTCTGTGCTTTCCATTCAACAGAAGGACAAACGCGACACTTCCAACTTCGACAAAGAGTTCACCCGGCAGCCGGTGGAGCTCACACCCACGGACAAACTCTTCATCATGAACTTGGACCAGAACGAGTTTGCTGGATTCTCCTACACCAACCCTGAGTTTGTCATTAACGTGTAGTCGCGGCGCGGCCGCCCGCCCTCTCCTCGCAGTCCCAAACTCCAGACCGCCTTGTACATACCGACACTAGTCTTCCGGGATTAGCAGTGCAGACATACACACCCTCATGCGAAACACGCCGACCGCTTGGTTTAGGAGGCCTTTCTATGTCTGTGTCACTTGCTAGCTTGGTTTCCCTAGCTGGAGATGTTTGGGGTTCGAGTTAACAGTCAGTAATACTTCTAGGAACTATAGTTGGTGGTGACTAATAGAGTTTTTAAACAGAAATATACCAAATTGCTACAGTCTTTGTAACCTTTGAAGCGGGCTGCTGAGATTCCAGTGACCCTAGCTACTCACAAATCGTTTCTGTTGAATGCTGAGCATGGTTGATATCTTAAACCGTTGTGCTGAAGCTTGCGATGACTGTGAGCTTGTCTTAGAGGAGCCTTTTGTTCAAGACATGGATACATTTGATCAGTGTGGAGAAGTCTGCTTATAGACATATATTTTTAAACGCGTTGTACATACCGAAGCCGTCTTCCTCCCTCGCCTCCCGCCAGCCTGTGCTCGCCATACGGCCTTTCCTACACTCAGGCATTACGACTCCCAGCCAATTCCATGCCAGTTCTTGTAAATCAGAGCAAACCCTTTTTCTAAGCGAAAGGTGGGATGGTTTTTTCTAACATCTGGAGCAGTTTGCAGTTTTGATACGCTCTGTCAGCGCGCTCATAAGTCTTTCTCCTGTTTTTTTCACAGACACTGTCGAGATTTAACAGCTCTGTAAAAGGGTATTAATATTCTACCAAAACAAAACACATTTATATTCTCAGTTTACAATTTACCAACTGAAAACAGGCCTGCTACAAAAGGGCTGTACTGAGGGCTATTTCTAAAGGTAACTTTTCTACTTTACACCCTCTGCTATTCTCCTCAAGGCTCAAACAGGCATCTTGAGTTACCTGACTTCAGCCAAAATTCCTGGGATTTTATTAAGAAATCCTGGAATTTCTGCATCATTTAAAAAACAATCTGAATCAGAAGAGGCAATTCCAGCAGCTGTTTGTAAGGCAGAGCTGTGCTGTGTGTGCAGGAAGGGGCAGGAAGGGCAGGGACAAGCGGGAGCTGCCCATCAGTGGGTGAGCCCCGAGTGTGAGGAGCATCCTTTGAGTAATGGCTGTTACCCCCCTCTTATTACACACCAGTTCAGTTGGTTCCCAAAAAACCCCACCCCTGTATATATATTTTTGAACCACTACTGGTTCTAATGTAAATACACATCCCTCCATGCCTATAGGGGAAGGTGGGGGTGGAATTCTATGAATCACGAGGAATCCTATAAAGGAAAACCTGGTTTGTAGACCTTTTATAAGCACCAAACTACTTTTGCAATTATTTTCTTCTTTTAATGAGTCAATGAGGAAACAAGGCTGCCAGAAGCTCGAGCCAACATCCCACCTTGTGGGGAGCGGCTGGTGTTCCTAAACACAGTGCCCTGTGGGTGCTGGGGATGTGGGCTGGGAGCCCACGGCATCAGGCACTGCCCTGGGCCGGAGGAACCAAACAAACCCCATTAAAACTGCAAATTGTGCCAGATTGATGAGCGGGTTTATGAGATGCTCTGCCCCAGACGCAGCCTCGCGCAGGCTGGTTTCTGGTGAGGGCTCTCGTAACACCAGCACACGGTTCAGAAGACGTGTCGCCATCCTCTGCAGACCACAGTTGATGTTCAGAGCATGTACGTTGCTGTAACTATCAAACCTGTTGCTGCAGAATTAGTATTCCCTCAGTGGTGAATGTTGTTCATTTTCGTACCTTCAGCTCCAGAGCTGCTCCTGGGGTCGGTCCAGGAGGATGCTGCAGGGTCTCCGTGCCAAGGGAGCCGTGGGTACACGCAGGGGCTGCTGCGGGGGGTTACGTCTGTTCTGTTTGGGACTTGTGTGTTCGTGTCGGGGTGATACTTGTGCATGGAGCAGGTGTTGTGCTGCCGGGCAGCTTCGGGTTAAGGTCTGTGCTCCAGGGAGAGCTTAGCAAAAGCTGGATCCTCTTTGCAGGACCCGCACCATGAGTATTTCTGACATTGTCCATTCTGCAACTTGCCAAACTCTTATTTCAAGGTCCATTTCCAGATGACCTGTTTCTTCTATGGAGACGTGTGTGATGGGATATGCCTGTCCCTGCGCAGACGTTGAGATTTGTACCAACTCTTCCAAGGAAGGGCAGAGTGACAGTGGTTGACTCACTGTTTGCTGTAATTTGATGATTTAATCGTTGCTGTTGGATGGGGAAAGCAGTGCTTCAGGAAGATGCTCAGAGAGCATCAGAGATGCTGAGAGGCTTCAGGAGAGCCCCGGCTGCTCCGATGCATGGATAAAGCCCAGTAAAACGATGTCTGTGGGTGCACCCACCGCTGTGTGCAGCAGTGCAATGCTGGGGGGCGAGGGGACAGCGTGAGGGAGCAGTGGGTGAGTAAGGAGGAGGATGCTCCTAGAGTGCACCCTGAGCCTTGTCGCATGCCTGGGGATGGGGTTTTGTGCAAGTCTGGTGTCCCACACCGAGCATCCTGGCTGTGGTGGGACTGAGATTGTGCCCCAGAGCCCTGCATGTCACCAGGGCAGAGGAGGCAGGGGACAGTCACCACTCAGGAAGGATGACATGTCCTGGCTCTCTCCCAGGCTGGATCACACCTGAGCTCTACAGGTAAGTGGGGTGCAGGCTCCTCCCGTGGTTCCCAGTGGGGCAGGATGGATTAGACACACATACAGGGGACTGTGTTGGCCCCTTTGCTGCTGGTCAGTGGCTGCTCCAGGCAGCAGAACCTGCACAAGTCCTGCACCCAGCCTGGGGGCTTTGCAAAGGAAACCAGTGCTGAGTGAAGACATGGGGCAGAAGGCTCCTAGAGGCAGAGAGAGAACCACTTGCATTTACCCACTGGCTAAGAACTTCTTTTCCCAATGCTGGCATTTGGAAATACACCAGAATATCCTGGCGCAGGAGCAGATTCCCGTTCCTGTCTGTGGGAACGTTAGGGCTGCAAATACCAGTGCTCTCTGGGCATGCCCTAGTCTTCCACTTGGACATTTTGCCAAAGAAAAGGAGGGAGGACTGTGGCTGTTTGTCCATGTTCTTGGTGTTAAGCACAGCCCAGCTTGAGCTGGGGAGCAGTGGGGAGGCTGCCGGGTGCCCATGGCAATGGAGCGTGACTGGGGAGCCATCACACTGCAGTTCAGGGTGAGTCTGTGCAGGGCTGTCACCAAGCGTCAGCTCTCCAGAGTGTGCCAGGGGACAGCCCCAGGGCAATGCCAGAGGTGGGGGACCTGCTGCTGTTGTCTCCCCTGGCTAGATACCTGAGCACCTCTTGATAAGAGAGCCAGCACTGCAGGAGTTACTGAGCCATTTAATAAAGGCAGGTTTGGCCAACCCACATAGGTAGTGTCAAAGATGGGAGGATGAGTGAGTGCTCTGGCTGTAGATCCGCTCTGGAGATAGTGAGTCCCAGGAGCTCTAATGCAAGTGCAGAACAAGGTTTTTAGCTCAGCCTGCCTGGATCCAACTGCTCAGAAGGAAGGGCTCACATCTGAACGGGGGAATTAACACACTGGCAAGTGCTGCAGCTTCTCTGCTTTTGCAGAAGCAAGTGAGCCACGAGCCTGCAACAGCAGCAGAAGCAACCAGCATCCTGCTCCATGCACGGAAGTGTCACCCGAGCTGTTTAGTTCTAATCACGTTCAAAGTGGCAATTAAGGAAAAAACATATATAAAAAAAGAAAATGTTTATTGTTGAACAGTTTGTGTTCGTGAACTTGATTTCACCTGCAAGTATTTGATGACTTTTCTACATCCTAGACTACCTGCTGTGTGTCGTCAAAAGATTCTCATAGAGACCTCCTTTTAGATGGGCATATACTCTTTATTCTATTTGCTGCATGTATGAAGAACAAAATAAAATATCTAATTTTAAAGAATCCCTGAGAGCTTGACTTCCTTTTCCTGTGGGATTCTGGTGCTGTGGAGGGGGAGACCCGATGGGCTGGGTATGCCAAGGGGCCCCTGGCCATCGCCTGCTGGTTCGGGCTGTTGGCTGCCTGCGTTGTCACCCGAAGGGGCCCCACTGAGCCCCCAAACGCTGGGATGCTGCAGCTTTTCTGTTAGAAAGATGCATATTGGTACAGCTGGAGGGTATCGGTGAGAGGAACCTGCCTGAGTATGGGTCAGAGAACCTGTGTCTGTGCTTAAAGATACATATAGATGGGTGAGGAGGGAAGGGAAGGGTGTTTGTATTTCAGTTAATTGCTAATTAAGATGAGTTAATTAACACATTGCAGATGCTCTTCCCACTCTCTATAAGCACTGGTTCCCAGTTCCTGTCCCTCACAGGGGATTGGGTGCAGGCAGACCCTGGAGCAGGGGAGCTGCATGGTGATACCTGCTCTTCTCCATCCAGGAAACCTGCTTTGTGAGGCTGTGCCTATGTGGAAGCTGGTGAGAAAGGGTGTTTCCTTCTCATTTTGGGCACTTGGCCTTTGGCAAGGTGTCCTTGTCTCTCCTGCCTGGTGAGGCTGGTGGTCATTGGGGACCATCCTGATTGAGGTGGGATGGGAGGGAACTGCAGGGCTTGACCAGTGTACCCCAACACCCCTCCTCCAGGCTGGACAGTCCTGCTCTGTCCCTCCTCCTACCTGAGCACAGCCCCTGCTGCCAGCACTGCAGGATCCATGATCCATCAGGGAGGTGTCCCATGGCCCCAGCACAGGGTTTCAGCATGCTTGGTTAAGCCCCTTCCCCAGACTCACTACATGCCCATGTCCAGCATGTTGGGAATGCTGCTGAGCATCAGGTCTCCTGGCTTGTGTGAAACATTTGGTTTTGTGACACTTTCCTGAATTATGGGAGCTAATGACAAAAGCATTGTGACAAATGACTCAGCTTCTGATAGTGAAGTTAATTAATGCTGAAGTTTAGCATCTCCATCAGAGTAGCTGGAAAAACCCGCTTGAGCATTTTGCTTCCCCCATGTACCA